TTTGGTGTATGGAATGATTGTAAGGTTTACATGTCTAGCTGGCAGGTGTCATCTGACCTTAACGCATTTTCATGGTTCAGTGGTTATAGTTAAGTTTTTGTGTTTTGGTCCTTTTTTCTTGGTGGTCAAGTCCATATCTCAGATACTATAAGCAATAGGTCTAGTATATTCGGTGTATGGAAGGACTGTAAGGTGTACATGTACAACTGGCAGGTGTCATCTGACTTTGACCTCATTTTCATGGTTCAGTGGTCAAAGTTAAGTTTTTGAGTTTTGGTCTTTTTTCTTATACTATATGCAATAAGTCAACTATATTTGGTGTATGGAAATATTCTATGATGTACATGTCAGTCTCGCAGGTTTTATTTGACCTTGACCTCATTTTCACGGTTCATTGCTCAGTGTTAAGTTTATGTGTTTCAGTCTGCTTTTCTTAAACTATAAGCTATAGGTCAGCTATATTTGTTGTATGGAAGGATTGTAAGCTGTTCATGTCTGTTTGGCATGGTTCATCCGACCTTGACCTCATTTTCACGATTCATTGGTCAATGTTTAGTTTTCTTGGTTAAGTCTGTTTCTTAGAAACTATAAGCAATAGGTCAACTATATTTAGTGTATTGAATGATTGTAAGGTGTACATGTATTTCTCGTTTGGTTTATATGACCTTGACTTCTTTTTCTTGGATCATGTTAAGTTTATGTAATAGTTGTAGTAAAGCTTTCATTTAGGACTATCAACATAATATCAATGGTTAGTAAAGAAGGCGAGACATTTCAGCGTGTGCACTCTTGTTATATATTATATTAATATTTGTATATTACAGTTGCATGTATATATAATTTTCATCCATTTGTATATCATTCTATTCTACTATATTAATAATAGTGCAGTGCATGGTGGACACTCTTCTGTAAAAATTCAATTTTTCTAATAGATTGGATTTGAGTAGGCATTCATATTTTCATGCAAAACGTTCAATCTCCCTTGCAGAGTTATCAGTCCTTGAGAGATGCATGGGAGATTGCAAACGTTCTTGAGATATTCTTCCGCATGCGTTAACACAATTTTTTGTACGTGTGCATAGATATTAATGATTTTTTACTTATATATATATATAACAAAACATTTTCATATTATTAATTTATGTTCTAAAAAATACATTTTATGAGTATTCATTGAAGAAATGAATTTATAACAAGCGATAAGGAATGTTATTTTAGGATGATGTTCGCGTATTTCTAGATTATAGATCGGTTACCAGTCAGACACGAAAGTTACGTAATGGAAATCTCTCTGGCAACAATACATTGGAATGCCCTCAAGGTCATCACGATGTAAAAATGATCTTCTAAGTAGATGAAATACCCAACTGTTGTATTAAATGCTCATAAAAAATATTAAACCAGATTGAAAATATAGCATTGATATGGAATAGATACAACATCACATGCAGTTTTGTGAGTTGATACATATATTTTCATTTACTTAGAAAATCATTTTTTTGATCAATAAGTGATGGATTTCTCTTAGAAGAAATTTAAATGTCCCAGTGAATAAACTACTCAGTGAACAATAGCTATTGTATCAATTCAATGGGACAAAAGAATTGACAAAAGTTGAAATACCTTGACCAAGAGAAATTTATTCTGTGGAAAAGTTTCATTTCTTTCGTGATTATTCACACAACATTGATGGAAGAAAGCTCCCTTTAAAACTTTTTGTCTTTTTTGTTCCAGAGTTAAGGCAATTATTCACATATTGCGCAACAACTCTTGTATGGCTCAAATGATTTCCTCAAAACTGTTCATCTTGTTGAGATTGATTAAAAAAAGCTTGCTTTCGATTTTTTATACGACCGACCGCAAAAAATTGTTTGCGTCGTACAATGCTATGATGTCGTCGGCGTCGTCTGAAGACACATTTAGTTTGCAGACAATAACTTTAGTTTAAGTGAATGGATCTCTTAAAAATTTTACATTATAATGGCGACTGGAACAGGGCAGCAACACCAAAAACTGAATCAGTAACACAGAGGTTACAACAGCGGATTCAGCAATTACAGTGGACTGTGTCCGACAGTACAATCAAGACACACCATCAGAGGAAAATAAAGTACTTTGTTTGCAGTACGTTGTGTAAGCGTAGTAATAGATGCCCAGCTCGTGATAAAATATGCCATAAAAGTAAAAAAAACAAGGTCATTTTGGTACAGTCTTACTAGTAGGAACCAAGAAAGATCTAGAAATGATAGGGGAAATTATTGTAATAATACTTTCAGATTTTAGGGATTAGCGCCTGTCCATAAGCGTCGGTCTAAGGATAGGCAAACAGGCAGATGTAATGCAGAGGTGAAGTTTGCGACATCTATGCATAAAAATAGAACTGGTGTAGCTGTCCAAGGCAGGAACACGTACAGCCTTGTAGACAAAAGCGCACATATTATATGTTGCAGCTTCAGTAAACTTCCTCTTAAAGACAATAAGCTTTGTAAATCTGAGTATTTTAGTACATATGGTGTTGGAGGTACACGTTCACGAGTATAAGGCATAATTTTGTTGCCACTTTCATTTGAAGGCACTGTAATTCACCAGTATGTTCATGTTATTGAAGGTCTTCAACATTCTTTTAAACATAGGATTCAAGTAGATTTTATTTTATCTCATAAAGTTCAGATAGATTTTGACACACACACATTATGCTTTAAAGGCACCGAAAAACAAATCTGCACTTTAAAAACTAATACTCGACTTGCTCGTTCATAATCCACTGTAATAATACCCTCACAACATGAGTCGGAACATTGGTGTCAAAATATCAAAACGAAATTCAGGGACATAGTTCTTTTAGAACCCAATCAAGAAATTCAGTGTTTAAATATGATAAATCTTAAGGAAAAGCAGTCATTTGAGTTTTAAACCCTATAAAGTCAGCAGTTACAATTCCTTCAACTAAGGTTTTAGCAACTGTGTTAGAAATTGAAAAATGAGTCTATACAAGAGTTAAACGGTTCAGCTTCAAATAATGCTAACATAGATTACGTTCAATAGTTACAGATAACAACACAAAGAAAACACGCATTGATTTTGACACAAGAGCAAAAACACAAACTTTTTACATTTTTGAACGGTATGAGAGATGTTTTCGCAACAAGTCTTACAGAGTTAGATCATTCAAAAATATAAAAACACAGAAGAAGATATACCAAGATGCAAAACCAGTGAAAAGACCGTTTTATCACCAGTCGACGCCTGTTGAAAAGGTAACTAGCAAACATGTCGAAGAGATGGAACGACATAAGCTTATACATCCATTAAGCAGTGAGTACCATTCTAACGTGGTTCTTGTGAAAAAGAAACAGTCAGAACAATGGAGATTTTGTTGTGATTATCGTCTGCTCAATAAAAAGACGGTTCTTATGTTAGAGAAAATATATTCTCATCACTTGGTATTTATAATGGCTTCCATCAGACTGAAATGGAAGAGGAAACAAGGCATACATCTGCATTCATTACAACAAATGGTGTTTATGAATGGCTTCGTTTACCTTTCGATCTCAGAAACTCTCCTGTCAGTTTTCAAATGAAATCATGTAAAAAAAAAAGATGTTAAACGCATCTATCCTATCCAACTTGAGATAAATGATACAGCAGATACAGTTAAGTCTGCTTCATATCTTGACTTACATCTAGAAATTGACAATGAAGGTCGGTTGAAAACAAAACTTTACCTACGAAAAAAGAGATGATTTCGACTTCCCGATTGTGAACTTTGCATTTCTAAGTAGCAGCAGCTCCTGCATACGGAGTATTTATCTCCCAGTTGATACGATATTCCAGGGCTTGTATTTCCTATCATGATTTCCTTGATAGAGGGTAGCTGCTCATAAGGAAGCTATTAAACCAAGAGTTCCAAGTGGTGAAGTTGAAATCATCCCTTCGCAACTTTTACGGACGCCATCACGAGTTGGTTAACCGTTATGGAATTTCAGTTTCACAGTTGATAGCGGATATGTTCCAAATGTAGCTACAATCCCGTCCCATTTTCCCCAAATGTGACCTACCGAATTAGACTTCTTACCGGGTTTGTACTAACATCAGCAACACGACGGGTGCCACATGTGGAGCAGGATCTGCTTACCCTTCCGGAGCACCTGAAATCACTCCAGTTTTTGGTGGGGTTCGTGTCGCTCAGTCTTTAGTTTTTCTATGTTGTGTTTTGTGTACTATTGTTTGTCTGTTTGTCTATTTTTTTGGCCATGGCGTTGTCACTTCGACTTATGAGTTTGAATGTCCCTTTGGTATATTTCGCCTCTCTTTTTCATTGCAAAACGTGGGATCTCTAAGCACGTGGGCAACAACCCTTTTTCAGTTAGTGTTTTTGGTTATTCGTCAGTTGCCATGAGATTCTAGTTTGAATAAAGTATAGTTATTTTGTAATTCTTCGTTTTACCAGGCCAGCTACAGTCCATTAAACATAGGCTGAAAGTCAAGTACGAAACTTGTATGCCATAGGAAGAAAAATCGTGGTGTTTCGAATAATTCCAATATTTTTTTAACAGTAAATTAACCAAAAAAAACGTATAATGATATTTTAAGTCAACACAAGTGTTACAAAATTTAGCAACTGGACTGGTTAAACTAACGGAGACAAAGCGTCCACCAGCGATGGCAGCGACTCACGGTGGTTGTAAGTCTGCGGACAGTGTATGCGAAAATACAATAAAAAATGTTGTACTGTAACTTATGTTTAACGATTATGTATTAAATTGAATATGTGAGTGAACAACCTAAAGCAAAACAAACAATATAACAGAAACACCGTTAGCTGCACATCTATGATTAGTATTACCATTAACTGAATAAAAACAAATCAGAAATATATTGCCTTCTATATTTGAAAATATATACACATGAGGAGTCATGCTTACGATATGACATTATAGATTTAAATAGATTTAAAATATAAGTTCATATTCACGCTTTAATAAGCATATCGGATATAGACGGTATATAGTAAAGAATTTATTGCCTAGATATTGCTTTAGTAATGCATAAAAAGGATATCAGGATCGAATTACTAAAACTTGATATTAGACAGTATAGAAGACCACATCTACCACCAACATCCAGCTCCTCATACAACATGTATAACAGGTGTTTATACAACGACAAAGAAGGACAAACAACAACAACGTCTACGTGTAAGTATAACGGAAATTGAATTAATCATTTGAATCACCCATGCACTTCAAGAAAAGTGTTACATGATCGCAAGATGTATGTATAGAATTTTAATATGTATTACACGAGTAAATATCTGGAAATTGATTAACTGGACATGTTTTTTTTAAGTGAAAAAGAAAATGTAATGTACATACACGTAGCACTAATCATTTTCAAACTAAGATTATGTACTAGTACTGAATATAACACACTGTTCTTCTCTTTTTGTAGAATAATCAAAATGACACGATGAGATATGGCAAAGTCGTTATACCCATATAGTAATGTTCACATATTGCAAAATAATATTTAGTGTTATAACCTGAAGAATCCGTGATTTAAATGGATGAATGAACAGCAGCAAAAATTGCAGAAGAAGCTATTGTGACTAATGACTTAGAAAAAATAAAGGATATTATATCCGTGATAAGCAGTACAAACGATTTCACAGAAGAGATTGCGACAGACTTGATAAGCAAACAACTTTACAATGCAGTTCAAAAGGCAAGTATAGAAATGGTAAAATTTCTTGTGGAGAAAGGTGCAAATATTTATTACGAAGATTGCTTCAAGCAGTCTGTTTTGGGCGTAGCAATTCGCAAAAATAATCCTGACAATGAGAATATTATTAAGTTCTTATTAGAAAACGGAGCTGATGTCAATCACGAAAACATTAATGGTCAATCAGATTTTATGTATTTAATGGACAGTGATAAACTAACATATAGCTATTTGTTAGATGTAGTTGATAGTGTCAGCAACGTACATGAGAAAAATATCAGAACTGGCGGGAGTTTTCTTCATATCACCGGCGAGCGTGTGCATGATAAAAACAGAGTTGATATGCTGAATAAACTGTTGAAAATGGGGTTGGACGTTAATTGTTTAGACAACAATGACGATACACCACTCCATGTTATGGATGGTATTGCATGTTATCGTTCGATAATGTTTCTGTTAGCAAATGGTGCTAACATTAAAGTGAGAAATTGATTAGGTGAAACAGTCTTACATTATCTCGCATGTAGCAACGAATTTGATGGCTACTCCGATTCTCTGAAACTATTGATAGACAGCGGGGTTGACATAAATGAGTTAGACTATACAGGGAGAACATGTGTTCACCATTCTTTATTGTCGAAGGATACAACACCCGAAGCTGTCAAGGAATTGATGAAATACGGTGTAAAAATTGATGTGCGAGATTGTTTAGGACAAAATGAAATATCATTTGCAGTACAAAAAGTGGACTTATCAGAATATACGGAAGTTTCTGATTTTGAACGTCGCTGTGAAGTTATCAAAATGTTATCAGGGGAAAGTGTTAATATAAACAATGCTGATATGTACGGTATTACACCACTTCATCTGTCTACAACCTTTGGTCCAGGTGACCTGGATATACTAGTCACATTGCTTGACATAGGAGCAGATGTTACGAGGAAAACAAACATGGGAGCTACAGCTCTTCACTGGGCATGTAAAGTTTACAATATGGCCCATGTTTTGATATTTACGTACCGACAAAATGGCTACAATATCAATATAACAGACAAATATGGCTCGACAGCACTCCATTGGGCTGTTTGGTATAGAAATTTACAAGCATGTCAGAGTTTACTACAGTGTGGCGCCGATGTAGATATTCAAGACATGGCCGGTAAAACTGCAATTGACCTGGCAAGAACTTTACACTTTGATGATTTTCACAGGTTGTTGACCACATATGATACCATGGAATCGCTTGGAATTCAGGATCCAGTTATAGAATGTAATGGAGGTGATCCCATATTTTGTTGCCCACTTTTAAAATACCTAAGAAAAGAAAATGACAAAGCCAATGTCGAAGAATATATAGAGCACGTCAACCGTCACAAGACTTCTCTATGTAAATCTATCAATATTGTGTTAGGATCTTCTAACATGGGCATGTTTTATGAAATTGAGGAAAATATCAGTGTCCCAGAGAAAATTGATAATTTGATGCAATTGCTTTCCGCCAGAGTGACTGATAGAAATAAGTTATTTCGTTGTGAATTGCGATTGGCCGGTAGTTCATTTGAAGGAACAAAAGTAAGACTTCGAGATGAATTCGATTACCTTTGGTGTTTGAAAGAACTCGGAGAGGCATTTGTTCCTGTCGAATCTTCTGCATATCCTCAAAGTTTTGTTAAACTTCGACTAAAGGATGATCGAATTCGCTTTCGTTTTTCTCAGTACATTAACCATGAAAACTTTCTAGACTGCAAGTTACTTACTCGACATCTATATATTCTATTAAACGAAGAGATTAAGAACATCCTCAAAGACCAAAATGAGTTTGTATGTCAGAAATTTTTAAATGAAATCTCTCATGGTACTTCCAGTTTGGTGTTTTATTATTTCGGATGCCAAGCAAAGTCATTTCCATTATCAATAGATGTCGTACCAACTGTTTGGTTTGATGGGTGGACTCCTGTAGAATTTCCTGTGAAACATTCACACTTGCTACATCATAATTCAAATGATCTGATGTTTTCAGTTGTCTTTAAGACGCCGGACAGGTTTCATGTGAAAGATTATACCACGTTTTATCGAATATCGTATGCGTACATTGAACAACGTATATTAAAATCAATACCATTGCATATTAAAAAGGGATACATTATCCTGAAATCGCTCTGTGAAACAGGATATTTTCCAAAGACCATCGATCACGACAAAAACAAAACAATAGAAAAATTCATTACAACTTATCATCTTAAAACATGTTTCTTGCATGAATTGGAAAATGCTAAACGTGGGAACGATTCAGATTTGGAGGGTTGTCCGGAAAACGCTATAGCAAGTTACAAGATTTCAATTCAATGGGCCAAACAGATTCTTGACCACATGGGGAAATGTTTTCATAATGGATCTTTACCCTCATTTTTCAATCCGAGTAAGAGTTTAGTGAGTTATGAAGGAATGGTTCACGATGGCATGATAGAACAAGACGTATTCCTGCAACTGATATCGTTGTTCGAACATCTGGTTAATACTGCTGAGACTGAACTGATCTGCAGTTGAACATGCTTTGACATATTCTCAGACAAAGAATTGGTGGATTTGTTTTGTCAAATGATTCAATTGGATTTAAAATTTTCGATCTTTTGTTTCAATTTTAATTTGTTTGTTTTTCTTTCATTGAATCATAAGTGCATTCACCTTGAATCACCTGCATGGTTCACCCACGTTGAATTGGTAAAGATAACAATTTCATGGTGCAACGGAACCGTGTCGTAGTATATACGCAATTTAAAAGAGGGCGTTTATTATTTTATTTTTTATGTATCCCCTTCGACGATAGTAATTTATTTCTTCTGGGTTTTTTCCGAATGAAAAATCTGGTTTTAACTTGGTGAAGTACGGCGGGCGGGCAGTGGGCAGCTGTCAACAGTTCTGTGAAATAATTTATCAATGTAAATGCTTTTCATGTTTTTATATGTTGTTTATAATGACAAAGTTTAGGTCAAGATATTCACTTTTACCGTTCAGGAGTTATATTGTCCTTGATATATTGGTAATGAAACTTAAGAACAGTTCGACCAATGTTTTCAAATTTTAATATATCATTGTTACTGCTGTTGTTACTGGTGCCAAAATTGAGATTAAGATGGATATTGACGATTTTCATTTGTTCCGTTCCTTGCTATTTTGGGAAATGACACTTTATGATGTGTCCGTGCGATAACTTATGTCGAATCGTTCTTCCAATGCTTTTCAAATTCTAAGATAATGTTCGTGATTACAAAAAGGAGTTCAAGTTCTTTCATGATTGACGATTTTCACTTTTATCGTTCCGGGGTTATGGTCCTTGATAGATTTTAAAATTGCAATAAATGTTGTTTCTGTGTAATAATCTATGAACCGATCAATCAATGCTTTTTCTTGTTCGTGAAATGACGATTTAATTTCATGTTTGTCCGTGATACCCCCCTTTTTCGAAATTATATGACGATGGCACATATTGTATGTTTAAAACAGCTGAGCAATAACGTTTAAGAAATGATGACAAAGTAGCATACCAAATATATTGTTAGTAAGCTGAAATATATATTTATTTTTTACATATTTATGTCTTGTAAGATATTTTTTTTTCTTTTTTTTTCCGAACGACCGACCGGACTTTTTCATGTGAAAAATCCGTTAACCAACAAATTAAAAAAAAAACCTGGCCTTAGGGGACGACCATTTGATATTCTGGGGGGGGGCCAGGAGGATTTGTTTTGGATCGGTTATTTATTTTTGTAAACTAAGAGGACAGATTATCTATTTTCTGCACTATTGAAGCAAGATTTTTCATTTTCATTAAAGCAAGGGACTGATTATTTATTTTCACAACTATATTTATAATATTCGAAAACATACAATTTTTAAATTATTTGTTTATTATAAATAATTCATGTATAGTCAAGTCATTATGTACCATTATCAGAATTAATTAGTATCCTCTGCAGAAATGAATCTTCTGTATTCCCCAATGCATATACATGTATTGCATACATACACAGTATTAAAGTTTGGTTGTAACTAATGCTCTTTTAAAAGTATTGGCAAACATGTTTCGCCGAGCGGAGCGAGGCAAAAATTTTTTTAAGGGTTTTTGAACCGCTGAAGGCCCAAGAAGCTATAGAAAAAATGACGCAAAATCATGCCTTCTGGGTGTTCCCCAGACCCTTTCTTAAACTGAAAATGCAAGTTCTGTTTTAATAATTTTATGACAATATTTTGGTCTCAAAGCAAAATCACGTTATAGATTCAGTGTAAGACTTAAGTTTCTAGGAACAACATCAAAAGACAAATATGCATGATAAAGCAAAAATGTAATTCACATAGTTAAGTCTGTGGCTGCTGTGTTTTTTTAAACTCATGATCAAGTTAATAATAAAATTACTAAATTACAAAATGAATGCAACACTAACAGAATACAGAAGGGCAATCAATGAACAAAAGACAAATAAATAAGAAACATTGATCCCGAAAAATCAGGGGCTAGGTCTGAGGGAGAACAGAACTTGCTTCTTGCAAGGCACTCACGGTGAACACAATTTGATATTGAGACTAGCGTTTGGTTTTGAAATTTCCTACATGAGGCATTTGTCTCAATGTAGTTACGGCCCTGATTTAATAAAAGTGAGGTAGGTGTTCCTGAGACAATTAACCTCAAGTTAAATGAAACCAATTTTCTGACATTTCAAGTATATTTAAATAATATTTATACTTTTATTATTAAAAGATATGGGAAGTGTTTCCCGATTTTTTTTTGGAAAAAAGATGAATTTATGAAGAACCTGGTGCCATCTCATACTTTCGATTAGACCTGCTGAGTTATTTATTTTCAATACATTGCAAGTCAGGTAATTTATTTTCAAACTACCACAGAACAAACCATTTATTTTTGTGATTATCAAGGCTGAGTTATTTATTTTCAAAATCCTCCTGGCCCCCCCCAGAATATCAAATGGTCGTCCCCTTAGTAATGAAAGGGGTAAAGCGTGAGCCGAGCAGTTCTCGGGTTAATTGACAGTTTACGTGCATTTCATGAAAATTTCAGAAGCCGGTCTCATCTTAAAAGTCTTTAATCGGTAGGAATGAATGAATGATTCTTATTATAAAAAAAAACTATAGTTCGGTAGAACACTCGCGTCACGAAAGTTGAAATCATCAACTGAATGGTTAAATTTAAACCAATTATGATATAATTAAAATTAGAATTAAATTTAAAGCTATAAAGATAATGTAGCCAGGTGCATGGATTGTCATGTAAATTATTGCCCAGTAATAAACACTCTACAAGGGGATAATCTATTATGATTTCTTCGGGAGTTGTACGTTTCCGCACATATATGTGCCTCCACCGTAAGCCGGGTAAACGTGTCGTCCCATGGGAAATGTAAAACATTGTAAAAATGACTTTCTGCTGGATAAGTCTTTTAATTATTGATATAAAGTCAAAACATCCTTACTTCTCATTAGACACGACTCCTGTCAAGTTTAATTCTTTTACATGTGGATGAAAAATAAAAGTCACAAAAACATTAACTAGGCAGTAATTGGTTTAACAGTCTTTAAGGCTTTGATTTTATTAGTTGTTATTGGCTTTGAACTAGCTTTCAGTAACTGCGAATACTCTCAGATCTGTACTTTGTGTCTTTTGCGCTTTTGTTGTTTTTTTTTTGTGTTCTTTATATCGATCTGATGATTTAAGCCCTTTTCAACTGATCTTTATAGTTTATTATTATGTTGTACTGTTACATCACTGTCCCCGGTTAGAGCGGGGAGGGTTTGGCACCAGCAAACATGTTTAACCCCACCATATTATGTATGTGCCTGTCCCAAGTCAGGAGCCTGTAATTCAGTGGTTGTCGTTTCTTGCTGTATATATCATATTTGTTTTTTGTTTAATATTTTGTACATAAATTAGGCCGTTAGTTGAAACGTTTGAATGTTTTACATTTGTCATTTAGGGGCTTTTATAGCTTACTATGCGGAATGGGTTTTGCTCAATGTTGAGGGCCGTACGGTGACCTATAGTTGTTAACTTCTATGTCATTTGGTCTCTAGAGGAGAGTTGTCTCACTGGCAATCATACCACATCTTATTTTTATACAGAACGTGGCAGGTCAAGCAAGTCTGAAAGTGCTTTCAAAATCATACAGAAAACCCGTTTTGCTGTCATGATTTGGCAGCTCATTTCTAGTTGACATTGACCTATGATATTTATAATTGTTTAAATTTATTAGGATTTGACCACTTCTGCAAACTCGCACAATGACATGATTGATGATTATTTTATTGACAACTTTAATTTGCTTAACTGGGTACAAATATTGCTTAAGACAGAACAGTCGGATTTAAGTGGTATATTCTATGAGGCACGGATTTAGTCAACATTATGGCATTGATAGGAGCTCGTGAAATATTTCAGGACCTCCCAATCTAATTAAAATATAGATCTCGGATTTCGTTATACTACTTTATACTTCATACGAAGTATAACGAAATCCGAGATCTATATTTTAATTAGATTGAGGACCTCCATTATTCGAATTCAGGATATCCATAAATCTTTGAGGACATCCTGAAATATTTCAGGATCTCCACAATCCTATATCAGGATATTCTGAAATTTTTCGGGACCTCCACAAATAATCGGTCAAAATTGCTTCATTTAGGGAGGTCCTATATATTTCCGGATACCTATAATATATATAGATATGGAACTCCATAATAATATATGTCAGGACATCCACATTTCAATTTCTGAATATCTTTAAATATTTATGGAGGTCCACAATTATATCAGGACCTTCATGATTTGATTTACAGAATTGTATCAACGTTGTTTTCAATTTCAATGTATAAGTCACAGGTTCTGAATCATTTAACATTTTTATTCTTTGAATAATTAAGAAATTGTAAAACTTTAAGTGTTTCTTTAATATTCAAATTCCTGTGATTATTTTTTTTTTAATTTACGAACTTTACCCAAAGAGCGAACTTCAGGAGATTAGTTATACTGACGTAACCGAAAAGATGCAGCATCGGTAGTATCACAGTGTAACAATTGTTTGCAGATCATTGTCATATAATATTATAAAAAAGATTTAATAACATAACGAATCTCTTCAATTCATTCGTAGATACTGCAAAGTGGGTATAGGAATAGAGAGCGGAAATAGAAGGTCACTGGAAAAAGAAGGAATGTTGGATAAGGCAACATGTTTGTCAAACAAAAACATGTGTCCGGCTTAGCAAATTTTTAAAATGTTTAGTTCTGTGACCAATCTTATTATCTAACTTCGGTGTCGTCTTCTTCGTAAAACGAATGGCAAAATAAGATCTTACAGGAAAAACATGGTCTGCCACATGGTCCAGTTTAGTGTTCGAGGAGCAAGCATTGCTCTTGTACAAACTTAGAACATATCTGCAATGTTCTGAAACTTTCTATGCTTAATTTTCATTTGTGCTTATTTTCTTTAATACTACTTGTTCTATCTCTGAATTATATAAAATATACTGGGTCCAGTAAATGTACTTGTGGGCAGACCATTCATTTTCGGCCTTAGATTTTCAAGCAGCATAGCTATCAAGAGACACCCATTCGCTCGCCAAGATA